TTTAATTCTGTTTTTAATTTTAGGTTCAGTTTCCATGAAATACCACACATTTCTATGTTCCCAGTCCAACAAAAGTAAAAAATGTATTGTTCTTGCAGCATGCCAGTGACTAAGCAAGCACCCCATATTCTGTAGCCACCACAGAAAAATTCCCCATCAATTCTTTCCCAGTTACAGTAGACTCTCGCTTATCCGACATAAACGGGCCGGCAGAACGTCGGATAAGCGAAAATGTCGGATAACACACAGTAACGATTGAGTGCGAAAAAAAAAAAAAAAAAAAACACGATCCGCCGCGCCTGTTGCAATCGATTTTTGCGTTGCGGCGCCACCGTCAGGAGCAACAAGAAAGTACACTCACGCTCCCAAACAAGCGGCACACTTTTCTCGTCGCCAATTTATGCGTGTTGTTGTTTTTTTTAGGGGCGTCAGATAAGACGGAATGTCGGATAAGCGAGAGTCTACTGTAACTGGTAAAGAATTGATGGGGAATTTTTCTGTGGTGGCTACAGAATATGGGGTGCTTGCTTAGTCACTGGCATGCTGCAAGAACAATACATTTTTTACTTTTGTTGGACTGGGAACATAGAAATGTGTGGTATTTCATGGAAACTGAACCTAAAATTAAAAACAGAATTAAATGTAATATTTTATTGCACTACCTAAACTCAGAATACATTTCTATATAAAGCATTTTTTCAATGTTGTTTTGTGTGACTTCAATCTTCTGCTCTTTTTCTTTCAACTTCAGTTTCTATTTTGCAGGTATATCCAATTATTCATGCTATCTAACAGGATAATTAGTTTGCATATTTCTGCTCTTTGCTTGATTCTCTACCTCTGTCACACTGGGCTATACGGTTTGCATTTTTATTTCAACTCATCTCTTCTTTTGATTTGATCGCAGTCACATAAAGTACAGTGGTACCTCGGGATACGAACGTAATCCATTCCGTGACTCTGGGCGTATCCCGAGTTGGTCGTAACCCGACGCAAATTTCCCCATAGGGTTCAATGTAAATCCGG